TTCAGTTGCTGAATGCAGTTAAAAATCTCAACATGGATTTATTTATCAGTGGACCAATTCCTACAGCTCGAGGAGGAGCTGAGAGGTTCAGTAGACTGTTTGCTCTTAATGTTTTTTGGAAAAGTCCTATGCTGACCACTCTGTGAGATATGAGGATAACTTTGATCTCTTCTGGGAGAGACAACATCTGTTCAAGTCTGATGGACTGACTCTGAATAGACTTGGAGCAGAGCTGTTAGTTTCAAACATGAAGTATTTCCTGAACCAAGTTCCAGCTGGAAMCAAACAACAGGAGGGTGATCAGCTGACGTCTGAGGCTGAAGGACAACAGCAGCAAATTGAGACACCGATAGAAAACAACGTATAAGTGGCTGATAAGAAAACTGCTGCTGAACYGGAAAAAAACATCTGGTTTAATCAGCATCACAAACAGAGGAACCAGAAAATGTGTTCCCCTGACCTACAACTGAAGAAAAACTGACCACTTCTTCTCCACCAGAGGAACCCAAACCATGAACTAAGAATGAAGACGTAAGACCTACTTCCAGAAGAAGACCGCAGGTTGGAGATGACATTGAGGGCCCTGTAAAACAAGCAAAGTCTCGCTTCAAAAATGTGTGCAAATCTGAGGCATCAATGGGAGAGGCTACCGACTGGATGGGGAGATTGGCTGATAGAAATGTGGATAAATGAGATGAAGATCAAATACCATTATGATGAATATTTTTATGTCTGGGAGGATTAAAAATTTAATTTCTGGGGTTGGGAAATGTTTAGAAATATCCTGATGTGACAACAGATGTTAGCTTCTCGTTATAAAGTTTTTTTTTATAAAATTTCCTTAGTTTTGACATATTTTATGTATGTCAAGTGAGGGATTGAAGGAAATTTTGTAACCGATTAATTGAATATTAGATTAAGTTTTGTATTTCATATTTTCTGATCATTGCATCTTTAAGGCCATAACAGAATAAGAGTTGGTGTGTCTTWTCATGTGTTCTTTCTTTAGTCTAAACAAGAATGAGTTACGTTCTGACGTCTGACGTAAAAGGTAACACCTCCTGGGGTGTAACCAGGAAGAGATGGACATTATAATGTCAGTTCATTATGATAGATAGAAGTTGTCAGTGGGTTGCAGAGTCTGCTCAGAACAGAGCTCCTGTGCTTTGTTTTGGTTCAGTCCAAGGTCTTACGCTGAGGCCTGTGCTGCTGAGTGCTGTATGAACCTGACTGGAGTCAGAAGACTGAAAATAAAGTTTTAAGAAGAAATCCAACTGATTCCTGTTTATTCAGACATACCATTTTGAACAACGCACATTTTTCCTACAATTCAATGCTGAAACTCCTAATTAATTACAAAAGTGCAAAGAAAACATGTGGATTGCAGAATGACATAAAAAAAAGCTCAAAAAGCAGAGCTCTGGGTATTTCCCTATTCGACACTGTGTGCTGTCATTTGTGTGTGGATTTGCAGACCTTCATCTCTTTGGTTAATTGCAGGGCTGCAGGGAGCAGCCGCCYGAGGAGTAGAGTTTCACAGGCAGAGCTATATCTGCCTGTCTGTCATCACCAATCAGGATGAGGGCTATATGGGTAAGTATCACTGGCAGTTAATACCCCGGGCTTAGACGGCCATCTTGGATGTGTCCCAGTCATCTTTTTTCCTCAGAACCCCCCACCCCCACCCCCGCACCCCAACATGTACCTGTGAGGAGCTTTATTTGGGTCCTTAAGCTGTGTTAGAATTCTAATAAAACATATATAGCCCCAGATGGTTTTTGATGAACAAACCGGAATACCTTTTAGCTCTAGTTTGGGTCAAGATCCCACTGTAGAAAATACTAAAACAAGGATATTCAAAAATTCAAATTAAGTGTAAAACATACTATTTCTAATAGAAACATGTCTGTTGCAACAAATGATGAACAGAGAAATATTTAGGGAAGAAAAAATTAAAACTAAGCTCTTCTCTCATAAAACTGTCAGTGATTCTTTTTGAATACTTGGATATATGTACTGTATATGTACTCAGCACCAAAAGTRAGAAAGTTTGTGTTTGGTAAATGATGTCTCTGTTAAAACAATGCTTCTTGGCAATAAATCTTATCAGGCACCTGATTGGCAGCACCTGGGGGCACCAGAGGCTCAAAACAGGTGTCAGCTGCAAAATAAGCTATTTGGCAGAGAAGATTTGACAAATTTTTCATGTGCACAACCCACTCATCTCTGCTCATCCCACAGATGCATGTTCCTTACAAATGTGGCACCAATTAAAAGACAAATTAACAGGCTTTCCAACGACAAAAGATTTATTTCAAGAAGTATTGTTACAACAAAAAAATAATCTACCAAACACAAATCTCCTAACTTTTTGTGCTAAAACTTTGGTCTGCTTTATGATTATGCCAGATAGTTTGACTTGTCTTCTCACAGACTAAGGTAATGATATATTTACATTTTTAGGGCTATTTTGAGCCAGCCGTCTTCATATCTTCAGACCTACACTCGACAAAAAACTCAGGTGGTTACAATTTTTGGTCTTAGAATGTGCTCTTGTCAGAACAAAAAAGTTTGTATAGTTTTGAACAAAAAAACATTTAAATATGCTGCACCTAAATCCTAAAGTGAAATTAAGGATTAGTTCTCTGAAGAGATTTAATATACAGTGGGGAAAATAAGTATTTAGTCAGTCACCAATTGTGCAAGTTCTCCCACTTAAAAAGATGAGAGAGGCCTGTAATTGACATCATA